GAAGCCGACGTGTTTGGTCCCAATCACACCGACTAATTCAAAGCGAATTAAAACAGAATTAACGAATAAATCGTCGCAAAAAGACGATTTAAGTCGGAATAGATCAACCATGTCGCCTAACTTGTTTTATTTTTTTCAGTGCGATTGACCCCTTTGTCTTGATTAGTATGTTAATCGATTAATACACAATTAATCTAATAAAAGACATAAATATCAGTGGGAGAAAAGTCAGCGTTAATATAATTTTTCTTTGTATTATTAAGACAATCTCTGTCTTTTTTTTTCTAATTTCACTGTTTCCAGAGGTAAGGGGGATTATTATAAGAGTAAAAACGACTTGATTGCAAAGATGGTCTACTCTTGGAATGAAACGTATATCGTTCGATTAATCTTGGTTTAATGTAACTATTCTTATTTTAAAAAAATCTTAGGTTCACAGAAATATGCAAGCTGAGCTGAATAGAGCAAGGGTAAAATAAAGTATGTTATAATCATTTAATAGGAGCAAGTAGCTTTTGCACACTTTTGAAGTAAGATTAGATTGCCAGAATATTTTTTCATGAATAGCATATCTGATTGCTTCATGTATTTCCAGAGATTCAACAAGGTTAGAATAAAGTATATTGCATAGTAGAATTCTAAACAGAAGAAGTTATGCCATGACTTCACTGTGTTTATTATTATACTGAGGTCTGGTCAAAAGTCCGTGCAACATTAAATAAAAATATAAAGATAAGGAGATATTTTCAGTTTTATTTTATCAAATGTTTAGCATAGTTATCATGATTATTTATATCAAGTTCAATCCTTTCGACACAATTTACTAAGAGTATTTTTTTAACTAGTGTTCTAAAAAAAATTTTTAGCTACCTTGGAAACCATATGAGCTAATCATGTTTCATCTATTTAATTAGTTAGACTTCGTTTGATAGAATGACTTAACCGAAGATTATGTAGTATTATGTCTGGCGAAAATGGCGGACACGAATTTATATTAATGCCTTCTGTCAAATAATCAATAACATCGGATGAGTATGCAGTCAACGATGACCGTCAAGCAGTTTTGTACATTTTGAACCTGACGTTTCCGTTTGTTTCCATATTACATTAACAAAAGGCTTCAGATAATTTTCAATATAATACTTGTCTCCTACGATTCTTCCTTTATCTAGACTCTGGACTATTTGATTGAATGAATATACAAAACAAAGCTTTGCTCCAAATCTGTCTTCGTGAGCAATAGTTTTTGACAGTTCATCTTTAATAAGCCATCTAGCATGAGATAATTTATGACTAAACTATCCATAATAAATCTACACATGATCACTAGTACTGATGGAACGCAATCGACATGATCTATCAAAATTTCTCTAAATCTAAAAAACTAATGAAATGTGATTATCTAATGTGGTTTTCAATGTAGCTAAAATTTTTTTTTAGAAAAATATTTGAAAAATATTTTTAACAGATTGTTCGAAAGGATCGAACTTAGTATAAACAATAATAGCAATTATCCTCGACATTTTATAAAATTAAATTAAAAATATATCTTTATCTTTATATTTTATTTAATGTTGCACGAACTCTTGATCAGACTTAAGAAAATTTTTTGTGTATACACCCATAGTAAATTTATCTAAAGAAAATCCATCGAGTATAGAAGTAGTCTTAACGACATTATATTGTCTTATCAATAACTAACCATAAACTATGATTCTCTTTTAACTTATCTTCTCTAGAAATATGCAACCGAATTTCTTTCCAATTTATTAAGAAGGACAGTCAGGACAAACAATAATTATGTATATGATCTTCTTCTTCCAATACATTTATCCTTGTTTCATAACAAAGAAGTGAATCACTTTCCGACAGAAAAGCTTCTTCCAAAACAATTTCTGTTACCTATAGATCATTAATCAAATGATATAGCTCTCGTTTCACCTACAAACCTCAGGTTATTGTCAGATACTAGGATTCATCATTACAAATTCTGTTTTTAAACAATAGTAATCTGCGTATGTTTCATTATTGAACTAAAACCGAATTTCCATAATGAAATTCAAATGAAGTCAATAATTAATCTAGTTAAAAATTGTTGTTAATTAGAATAAAACACGTTTATCCGTAATTTATAGCGAAAGAAGATGTTAGCATAGCCTTCGACGTCCACTGATGAGTGTGAAAGATTAAATCAGTTGCCGTTTTGGTGAAATTCAGTTCAAAAATCGTCATTTCAAGCTTAAATTTGATCTTTCATTTGCATATAACAAGTACAAGTACATATGGAAACTTAAAACTGATTTTTGAAAAGCTTTAGAATGATTAAGCTCATCATTCTTAACAACTTTGCTGCTGAGAGTATTTTAAAATTCCTTACGGATTTGGTAAAAGTTGAGTTTTAGTGTGTCCAGCAAAATCTGCTGCGAGTCTACATTCACCCACACGCGTAATGATGATTCTACATTCACCCCATATGGGGTAAATGTAGACAAAAATTTTTTTTTTTGGAGCTCTTTTTGCAAGCTTTATAAAAAAACCAGTCTTGACTTATAATCGTAAGACTAGTTTAGAGCAATAGAAAAGAGTTTGGGCTATCAACTGGTGAAAAAATCACCAAAAAATATTATATTAAACGCTTAAAAATTAGATTTTAATAATTATGTAGAAAATAGCTGAGATTCTACATTCACCCCAATAGTACCAGCATTGATTCTACATTTCCCCCAAATGTGATGAATGTAGAATCGAAAAGTAACTCTCAAAGAACACCTTGTAGATAGCGATACTCACAAAATTTTGAGAAACGAATTTCATCAGTCGATAGAGGAGAGATTCAGCTAGGTGTCTTGAAAAGAAAGTTTTTCAAAAAAATGAAACATAAAAAAGTTATAGGCAATATTCGTGAGCTCATTAATTTTTTGTCTACATTTACCCTGACTTACTCTACCAAATTAATAAAACGACGTTTCAGATCTCTATCATATGTCTCTAATAGACAACTAAATATACTATTATTTTAAACTATTAACGGCTATTGAACGCATTCTTATAGCAGAAAAACATGAGACGAAAAAGTGATGAATTATTTTTGCACAATATTGTAGTTTACACATTTCCTTGTTTTATCTTAATTTCATAAACTTCTCATTCAATTGTGAAGCAACTCTTCGAAAATGATATGTCTGACGAAACAACAGAAAAAAAGGAATATTCATTCATTCGTCGCTATCTCTATAGTAACGGCCATGTTCAACATACATTGTCTTCTCTTTTTCGGACGGTTAATATAAAGAAATGAAAAAAAAAAATACATCCGTCAATGAATATAAAAAAGAGAGCATAGCTATAAAAATGCAGAAATAACCGTTTATACGAATATATATGGCATTGATTACACGTTTCGACGATTTACCCGATCTAGTATTGATCGAGTTGTTCTCATATCTATCGTCTCTCGATATTCTTTGGGGATTTACACATATTAATGATCGTCTAAAAATGTTAACCATGGAACAAGGTCTTTTTTATCATATCAACTTATCACTTGCACGTAATTATCAATTTAATAGAATTCTTCATTTTCTTCCATTGAATGATATTCAGTCACTTGCAATTGATAATGATGCATCTCCACTTCAATTAACTCGTTGGCCTTATTTACCTAGTTTGAAAACTCTGCGTATTATTGGTGTATACAATCATAATGATCTTTTGCTCTTTCTTTTGCTTCATGCAGCCACACTCATTCATCTCATTATCAAATCAAATGAAAGATTGGTCCCCGTAAGTGTCAACAATTTTTTTTAACAAATGCAAAGCTTTACAAAGAAAGGAGATTGTTGGAGCAAACATTGAAAATGCTGAAGGGTTGTTCTGTTAAATTGGTTCTAAATGTCTTGAGTCGAAATAAAAAGAAAACTGTAGTAAGAATTATGTGACTATCAAAGGATTGTGTCCAAGATAAACTTATTCTTATTAAAATATTTCGATCGGAATAAAAAAAAAATAAATATGTTAAAGATATTATAAAAGATAAGTTGATTGTTCTTTTATTTATATGCTAAAGTGAAGTCACTTTTCAAAAAAACAAAACAAACTTCTACCCACGGAAAAAAATTTTCAAAAAAACCGCGGTAGGCAACGGTATTAAAAACCGCGGTTTTAGCCGGTATTTTCAGATGGCGAGAGTCAGACCATCTATGCGTTTCTTTAAAACCGCTCAAAACCGCGGTTTTTCAGGTCGCGGTTTCGAGCGGTTTTTCCCGACACACTAGAGTGAACCGACTCCAGCATGCCGACCATAATCTGAAGCTTTCAGGCATGGTGCCCTTTTAGGGGCAGTGAAGTGAACCCTTTCGAGCTCCATTTCCACAAAGTATCATCGTAGAGTCAGATGAATTATCTGTGTAATGATCGAAAAATTTGGCAGAAAAAATGGGGCACGACATCTTGACTGTCCTTACACATTACTTTACACTTCGATATGCATGGCGGTTTTTCACAGCAACACCGCGGTTTCCTGAATCACGGTCCTGTAAGTGACAAACGCGGTTTTTAAAACCGTGTCTGCCAGCGGTGTAGTACATCACGGTGCGGATACGCGAAACCGCGGTTTCTAAAAGCGTTACTAACCGCGATATAGAACACTGAGATTTCGCCACAGAAAATCGCGATCCTTCTAGTTACACCGTGATGGCTTGAAAGAACCGCAATAAACTTTATTTTTAAATTTTCGTGGCTTCGTTTTGAAATAAAATGAATCTTCTACCATATGAATTCTCTTGAAACACTCTACATTAACAATGATTCGTTTTTATTAATTTATCGAATAGCTAATACTGTTTTTTTGTGACTCTACTTCAATCCCTCCTCAACAGAAACAGATTGAAAAATAAATAAAAGCTGTAGCATTTTTTATCAGTCGATTTGTGAAATTTCTACCGCGATAATTTTCATATGAATCGCAAATCGTTCTATTGTGCTAGATTAAGTATCTTCTGGTATATCAGCTTAAAATGANTGAACGCATCGAGCCAATCCATAATCTTTTGTTTATTCCAGGTTATTTTTGGGGGGCTTTGTCTCTTCAGTTATCTGACAATGCCACGTAACATTGTCAATGATAATCACAATTCTGGCTTGAGATCCTTGAATATCAAGAGAAATAGGGTACTTAGATGCAGATTGCCACTTTGATTTTTAAATTACCATGTTGATGTTTGAGAAAAGATGATATCCTTGAAATCCAGTCAACAAAATGGTTTCCGTCCATAGAATGGTCTTGATCACATTTGAAAATATTGACTGTAGGCAAATGAAACCCATTTTCGCTGATCATGGCTGAAATAGCTAAGCGAACTCGTAAGAAATACAATTTTATGATATGCGTTTATGTTGTTTAATTATAAGGGAACACCGATACCTCTCGCATCATTATGTCTGAAACGACCAGCTTTTGTTTCAGAATCAATGCAGATCATTCTCTTTTCCTCACCATCCATGACTCAAGTCTCGTCGTGGAAATAAACTATTGTTCCATTATTGCGAAGATCATCGAGTGAGCGAAAATATTTCGCTCGCTGGGCCATAAAATTTACCGAGTCTAGAGGAATAGATGTTTTAGATGTTTGCCTGTAACGAAAACCAAGCTTTTTCATTCATTGCAAAAGTGTTGCTCTGCTTTGAATTGGAAATTCTGGATCTTCATATAGCAGTCGAACGAGAATTTTTTCAGTGGTCGGATAGACTTTTTCAGCTAAAATTGCATGAAACTGGTACCCAATCGGAAAAACCTTATCAAATATTTAATCATTGTTTTAAAAAATACCGAATATTGTCTTGCTCAAATTTGGTTAGTTCAATTGCTTTTCTCCCACTATTTCTCTTCTTTTTTGGAGAATTCGGTGTAGGGACGACCACAGTAACGTTATTCTTCTTGTGTGACCGCTTCGCTGACATTGCTGCTATGGAAGCTGTTTGACTTCTCAACTGTCTTTTTTCTTTCTTTTCTTGTTCTTCATTTTCTTTCAAACTGGCCATTTCTTCTCGCAATCGAAAGACTGATCTTTCTGAGATTCCAAGCATTGCTGTTAAGCGACCAGTTGTATTGAATAATAGAATTTGAAATCCGTCCTTTTCACTTTTCACGAAGCTGATTATTCGAAACATCAACTGCTTGATTTCTTTGTTGTACTCTTTTCCTTTTGGCATTGTCGAGTAAAAGTTGGCAAAATTAAAGGTCACACGAATCCAAAGCGTCTGACAGAATCAAATCCTGATAAATGTCTCTCTTGATCTTTTGAGCTTATTAATAAAGATTAGAACGTACTCACCTACAGCATGGCGATCACTACATATACAAAGAAAGAAAAAAAATATTTATATACGTTGGAGAATACCAAGTATCACGTAAATGAATTTATATTGGCAAACTCCAATATAGAGCACGTGACAAGACGTTGAGAAAAATCCAATACATCTTGTTGGGAATAATGTAATATAATATGTTGGAAAATTTCAACTATCACAATTGTCCTAGAACTCGTTCCATGAACAGGTCATAACCAGTTTTAGAACATCGTCAGCAGCAGAAAAACCTACTTAATCGCAAAATTTTCAGCTTTATTACGATTTGTATCTCGAGTTGAAGACTCATTTTATTGACTAAACCAGAAATACTCTTTTCGAGATGAAGTCAACTATCTTGTTATGTTGGACGTAGTAAATAACCTATTTTTTCTATACATTTTCCACATTCCAAGAACTAATTAGAACATGTGAAAATGCAATACTGTCCTTTTTCGTAAAATTGATGTCCTGTCCAAACAATAAATGATAGAGACCTGCGGCTTGCGTAGTTTTGTAGAACATCGTCAGGGCTATCGAATCCATCTCTGAACAAGAAATATATATATTAGAGTTTATGGAAATGGCAAAGTTGGAGATGATACATAGCTAATTAATTGTACCTTTATATGATACTATCCCTTTGGTTTTTATATGAAATCGGTGCCCAGATCCTGCTCTTTCGAACGGTGAAAACCGCAGCTCTCTATCTCGTTCCTATCAAAAGTTATTCGAAAAATGGCAACCTGCTTTTTATTTTAAATCCGATAATAGTGTTAGTACTACTAACAAAAAACAAATAAATCCATCTGCGACAACAATTGAAGAAGAAACAAGAAATAATCAAGCACAAAAAGATCAACAATATCAAGACGCATTACAAGATTTAAAAATTTCTTGGATTCCAAAGTATTTAAACAATTATTTTTTATTTTCGTTTTTTATTTTTATAATAAAGATTAAATGATGATCAAGGAAACTTATATGAAGAATTAATAAGTGAACAACAAGACTTAAATAATTACATTCCATTACATATTGCTCCTCTTCAACAACTTTAAAATCAATTAAAACAACGACAATCGAATTTAATAAATGAGAAAAAAGATGAAAAATTAAATGAAATTATTAAATTTATTCAAGACAAACTTTTACCTTTATTTGATGAAGATCTTATTTTAAAATTTTTTGGACAAAAAAATTCAACATCAAATGAAAAAGATATTCAACTTATTAAAAAGTATTTACTAAAAAAAACACTTTCTTTAAATGATTTTTCGCATCTTTTAGTGATATGAAAAAAACGTCGAAATTGGTTTATTGATATTTATATATCATTAGGAATGGCTTTATGTAATTTATCAACAATCCATGATGAAACGTCAGGATATTTAACAAATATCCTTAAAACATTACAAAAACATGTTGATATTAATGATGGAAAATTATCAAATTTTTTTTATAAATATAATTTAATTAAAAACTCTTATGGTCGTGTTTGGAAATTACTTTTAAAATAAATTGAAGAAAAATCTTCATCACAACAACAAGAATATGATAACAAATTACTTCAACTAATTTTTTTTTCTTTCATTGTTTTTCGTTTAGCTTTATCAAACAATGAATATGAAATATTTAGTTACATATTAAGAACATTTAATTATTGCCAAATATCCTCAAGCTTATATTCTATTTTAGGTTCTTTTTTTTGTTAAATTTCTTTTAATAAATTGAGAAAATATTGGATGATAGATCCAATATTTTGTCATTCCCTATCTTTAATTATAAAATTCATATAGATTTCAATTCAGTTTTTCTTTTATTTGAAGATATAACAACGATTATTGATGATAGCACTATCGATATTCATCTTACAAAACTTGTTGGTCAGTTGTTTGATCTCTTCTTTTTTTTAATAATAAATTTGGTTGTTTGATATATTTGTTAGTCGATCGTCGTCATTGTCAAAAAGATTGGAATGAACAATCAGGGGCTATTCGAGCGAAAATTCAACAAGCTATTTTAGATATGCCGGAACATGATGAAATCAAAAGATTACTTGACTCTTCATGTATGAATATTATTTTTCTTTTAGGTTTATGAATTTGTTTTTCTCCATAGATTTGGATTATTTTTGTTGTCTAAAAATTGTTGAAATATTAAAGGAAACAGAAAAAGAAAGTAACAATATGCTTGGAATGTATTTATCACAACGAATGAAAGTATTATATACAATTTTATGCTTTTATATTTCATATGAAAATATTGATTTAGGATTGGCGAATAATTATTTCAAACTATAAAAAGAATTCTGTTTATCTTGTTTTGTTCTATCTAAAGAAAAAAAGAATAAAATTTGTTTGTTAATTTCTAGTTGAATCTGCTCAAATTCTTCAACAAAATGTTACTTTTGAAATTTCTGCATTAAAAAAAAACCAAATTGAAAAATATCAACAAATTGGAGAAGAATGTCATACACGTCATACAGAATTAGATAAAATATTTATTGAAAACAATATGCACAATTATGTAATGATATGTCAATTAAAGTTAGTTCGTTCATTATTTTATTTAATTATTTTATTTTCTATTTAATTTAGGGTAATAATGTTCAACGAGAGTTAATTCAACATATTGAATATTTACCAAGTATATTCATAGAATTAGCGAATGGAGATAAAAGTTCAATTCCATCATTAAAATCCGCTATTGAGTTTTATAGAGAATTTATGAAACATTTTCATTCATCTTCGAAATCTAGTAATGAAGAATTTTTACCTCTAATTAAATATTTAATTGAAAATGGAAATACAACAGCTTATCAATGGCGAACTGGTGGTCATATGCCGGTTAGTGTTGAACGACTATCATTAAATTATAAATTTACGGAAGCAGCAGAAGTTAATGAAGAAGAAGCGAATATTATTCTAGGATTAAATGATGATATAACAACATCAACTAAAGGAATTGAAATTAAAAAAACAGCAAATCAAAGTGATGTTATTGATTTTGATACGGTACAAATCTCTTCTCAGTTTTTAATTCTTTATAGTTTTATTTATTTAGGAAGGAGAAATTGATTGGTCTATTATTAATACAGTACCAGAATTACTTTATCCAACTCTTTCATCAAATGGTACTCATCCTAATTCAATTCCTGATGCTTGTAGAGAAGCTACTACGAATGGATCAACTCATCCAAGTATTTTTCTTTATCTTTTCTTTTCTTCAGAATTTTATTTCTTTTTAATTAGTTGATGATGGAATTGCTTGTGGTAATGATGCATTAACATTATTAGACAATCGTTCAACATATGGATTATTTATTCATGAACTTCATCTTCATTCAGTTTGTTGAATTATTTTCGAAACAATAAATAAGTTTTTTTTTTCTTCTTAATGTAAAATATTTGAAAATATACTCATTCAATGCAGAGTGAAAAACTGCATCGAATGAATATATTTCGAAACATCTAAGGAAATAAAAATAATCAGAAAAAAGGAAATTTCATTGAAAATTCGAGTGTTTTTCTTCTATATCAAAAATATGACTTTTTTAACATTTTTTAAGATTTTCCAAATAGTTTTTTGAAATTTTTATCACAAAAAAAGACTCAAAATTTTTTAAATATATACAGTTTGTAGAGCTCGACGAGCTCTATCGAACCATATAAAAATATCCAAGGAAAACATTTTAATCCATTTTTCAATTACTGGCACTTTACTTTTTCACCGCAAAAAAGTATTAAATTTCTGAAAGTTTCTTAAGTTCGATATTAAAAAGTTTTCATAATCCTTACTATTTAGCATCAATAAACCCCATTTTTGACGACCTTTCATTTGATATAAAATTCATTATGTCTTCTATTTGAAATTATAGCGGTATCCCCATCGGCGGGCCACCACAAGGCAATTGGTGGCAATTGCCACACCTGAAAATACTATTAGTGGCATATATCTATCTGTATATATACATACGTCACATCCAAAACATGTCTTTCTTTAAAAAAAACTAGGCATTACTATTTATTGCCACACCTCCATATCAGACGATGGCCCACCAATGGGTATCCCCTAGCAAAATGTTATTTCCAACCCTGTATGGTGGTAGAATCAAAGTATCATCTGATAAGTCTTTGAAAATCTGATCATTTTCCAAAAAGCCATAGATATTCTGAAAGAGGAACCTTTGCTGCATCTTTCTATGATAAAAACTCAACTTCGATATTTTTTGAAAGATTGGATTTTCTAAAGGGCCTCCCTTAATTTATCCAAAGAGCTGTGAATCAGCGTATCCTGAAATATTGTGCTATACGTGCATTACCCGAAAAGAAGGAGAGCAATACTATTTGCACATGATAGATGACGTTAGCTAACTGCATTTATTATGCGCTTTAAAAAAGTTCAATGAAATATATTGAAAATATGCCATTTTAATATGTTTTTTTTCGAATTTCAACGGAAAAACGCATTTCTAAAACTTCTTTAGCGTTTTTCTCAGAGTACGGTTTCTCAGCAGGAAAATTGGAATCACTCTATCCCGACCTTGGGTGTTATTCAATACATTTTTTTTAAAGCTCTGAATCACGGCTAACTTTTCATCAGACGGATTTTTGATACATTTCTCCTGGGATGAGAAAAGTGGGATTTACTGTCGCTCGAGTGACGTGCCTTTGCAGATCTGCCCAGTAAAACTGTCATAAAAAATGAATGGAAAGGAGTTTCAAAAATCATTCTGATGAAAAGTTGTGCACAGAGACTAGCTTTAATCTGACGCCACCCCGAGCTCTCTAGCCTTTACTACGACTGAGTGATTCCCATTTTCCTGAGAGGTATGAAAACAGGCCGTAAGTTCGATCTACTAGGGTGTATCGAGCTGAAATTTTTATCACAAGTATATCTCACCAGGCCACTTGTTCCTGAAAGTTTCAGCCCAAATGGCCCGTCTTAGGTGAGAAATCGTTTCTGAGGGGGAGGGCACCTTAAATGGACTTTTTTCAAATTGATTAAAAAATTTTTTGAAACTTTTTTCATGTAACAAAAGAAATTTCGGTGAAAAAAAATGTCAAAATCGACGTAACAATATAATGGGCGAAATTAATACGTTATAAAGATTTTCTTTTTTCTTTTCAAAACTGTGCAGTGTGTGTGTATTTGTATTTGTGGCGGATTAGTTTTATCATTCTACACAGATCTATAAAGCAAATCTATTATTACAAATGTCATCGCACATAGACTACTGAGTCGAAAAGAATTAGAGAATAAATATCAAAGACTAAAATCAAATTCAATAGACAAATAATTTAGTTCTTTTCCATTTCGAACTACAATTTTGAAAAAAAAAATGGTTCGACTAAAGCGAGTTTAGAGCTACTCGAATCTATTTCAAAAAGATTTCTTTTCTTCCTTCATTGAATCTAATTCACATTAAACTACAAATATATTTGAACAGTAGTTTGAGATTTGATGTTTTTATCTCAATTTGAAAATTTTTTCATTCAATTGTTGAGCAACTATTTCAAAATGAAATGTCTATCTCATGAAATAGAACGTAAGAAAAAAAGAAAATTCGTTGATTCATCACTGTTTTATTTCCACGGTAACGATCATATTTAACATATATTGTCATTTCTTATATGGACTGTTAATCTGAAGAAATGAAAAAAAAAATATTCGTCCGTCAATGAATATAAAAAACGAGAGTGTAATTATAAAAATGCAGAAACAGTCGTTTATATCAACATATGGCGTTGTTTACATGTTTCGATGATTTACCTGATCTAGTATTAATCGAGCTTTTCTCATATCTCTCATCTACCGACATACTATGGGGATTTACTCATCTTAATCATCGTCTAACAATGTTAATAAATGAACGAGGTTTTTTTCATTATATTAACTTATCACTTGCACGTTATCAACAATTCAATACAATTCTTCGTTTTCTTCAATTGAATTATGTTCAATCACTTTCAATTGATAGTGATGCATCTCCACTTCAATTAACTCATTGGCCTTATCTACCTCGTTTGAGAACTTTACGTATCATTGGTGTCTACAATCATGATGACCTTTCAAAATTTCTTTTGCTTCATGCAGCTACACTCGCTCATCTCATCATCAAATCAAACGAAAGGCTGGTTCCGGTAAGTGTCAGCAGTTTGTTTTAATATATGTAAGTGGAATCGTTTAAATAAGAATTGAAAACGTAATTCTATTTTACCTTCAAGCTTATTTACAATATTGCTAAAAAAAAAAGAATTTGTGTATATAAATAGACTGTGTAAAACATAAATTATTATTATTTTTTGAAAATTTCATACTGATCGAAATTTGAATAGAATATGTGACAGATGAGGTGACAAGAAAACCTAGATTCATTGTTCTTAATGAAAGAACTTTTTTTGGAAAAGAAACATGTATAAAAATATCATCAAATTTCATTCGACAGAGATTGTCAGATTCAATAAAATAAATAATAAAAAAAATATCGACTTCGATGCTTTCAAGAGCTATTCAATATACAAATACTTATGTAACTTATGTATTTGATTAAAAAATTCTTGTAGAACTATGATTCATGTAACTATAAAATACTAAAGCTTACCTTTCTATTCATATGTTGAAATATAAAGTAGATCTTTCATTGAGAAAAATACAACAGAAATAATCAAATCATCAAAGAACATACCACATTCTGGAATATATCTGAATAATTTTGAGTTATAGATATCTTAATAAAAGAAGAACGTATAATTAAATAGTGAAGTTAACTCAGTAAACCGAACAAAGGTTATCACAATGTTCTCTAAGTTTTCAACAATTTTATTTTGAAATTTGCGAAACTATCTTTAATAGTTCTAAATATACTTGACAAGTACTTTACTTGAATAACTATTGCCAATATTTATACATGCAAAGCTAATAAGATTGAAAATTTCTGTGAAATAAAACACTGAACAAGATAGTTTTTGTTCAATGATATGTATGTAGAATAGAAATGAAAATTGTTACAAGAGTCTGAAGATTTCTATTGGTCACAGAAAATTGTTTTGAGAAAACTTTCTATGAATCTGTAGATTTTCAAAAGAACTGAAATTAATTATTAATAAAAAGTGTTGCTTTAAATACAAACTTCACTTTGACAGTCTTTTCTAAATCAAAGTACTGTCACTTTAAATCTCACCACAAAAAAAATTAGTTAGCATTACTCATTGATTCATAATTCAATGATATTGATGTACTGTTTCTTTTTCAGGATGGATTTTCCTTTAAATTTGAACATCCGATAGGCCACATGGGATTATTAATAAAAGATATTCTTCTTATTCATTTACCTGCACTTCGATCTCTCGACTTAGGCATGGAGTATTACGGGACACGTTGGCCCATTACTACTGCAATAGTTCCTCTTACCTATTTGCGTCTGACTTTACCAGATGTGGATATATTAATCCGTCTTATTTCAACAGTACCACTCTCCAACACATTACGTCAATTACACATAAAATTAGGTAACAATTACTACAAAAGTCATTCTTCTATATCAACATCTAATCTTTCGATTCAAATGGTTAATTTACATACATTTACTCTTTTGCATAAATTTTTCTTTATGTTACCAATTGAATGGACATTTTTTGAAATGCTGACATCGTCCAATGTAATGCCTGTTCTTCGACGTGCTAATGTGTCACTTTTTATTAATATTAATGATTTAAATCGTATTAGTTCATCAGCAATTTTTACTGATCATCGTCATGTTGATGTTCATTTCGTTTTTAATCTTATCAATTGTCCTGAATATATCAATGTAACTCAATATATACCCCATGGTAATTGTTTTCATCCACGAGAAATAATCGGTGCAACATTTGTTGTTAATCGACAGTCTGACAGATCACGTTGGCTCGTTGATGGTGATCCTTTTGTAAGTTATCATTCAATTAGATTTCTTTGCATTTTATTTGAAAATAAGATATCAATGAAAATGAGATTTTTGTTCTTTTCTTAATAATTTGAGTTTCATCAAACAATATATTAATATATTCTTTATATTTATAGAGCCGAGGACGTCAATATTATCATCATATGTGGTATACTCTTCCATGGATATTTGATGAATTCTTTCACGAAAATATTTCACATAAATCGATCACCAAAGTACAAGTGTTTGAAATACCTCAAAAAATGACGACAATTGTTCAATCATCTCTTCGTACATTAGATGCATCAGGTCAGACTTTGGCATCATCCATATTCTCTTTACCTCATGTGGCATTATCCAATTGTATTGAAACATTGCACTTGTCCTATTATAATAGATCTATTCATATACATTTATCTGCTCTTCGTCATATAACTCTTCTAAATAGTATCAATTGTCTGGACTATTGTTCTTCATTTCCGACAACTATTCGTTCTATTCGTATTATACTTTTTTATTTTTCTCCTAATTATATGATTCCAAACTGGCCAGTGGTTTTGCATTCACTTTCAACTTTGCCACAATTGAATTCATTACGTGTATTTATGTATGACTTACCAAAAACTATCGATGATAGAAGCTGTGAAATGATTGCAGAGAGAGCATCTTTGTTCACCGATTTTGGCTTTTGCTTTCGAAGGAAAGGCGCTTCATCGCATGACTTTGACATCAATTCTGTGTTTAAAGACCATATAAAATTTATAAAACAATTATGTCATCATATATTTATGTTGTCTCTTGACAAACAACCCTATTATTATTCAATTGAAGATGATGGTTGTGGACTCCTAATGTGGTTTTAATTAATAAATAAATCTGGCAAAATCATTTTCAATTTTGATGAATCTAATAAAATGTTTTTTTTTTTTGTACAAATATCACTAATCATTATTGTTATTAATCTTTTTCTCATAATTGTATAAAATTAACTGTCAAGTCACATTATAAAGAAAAAAAAACAAGTTTTTATTTTACTGAAATAGTTAATAGTTAAAGCAACAAATTATTTTTTCAACAGTTCTGTTGCAATTCGTTGATTCTTGTGAGAATGTTACGTCATGCTTAGATTCACTGATTTTATCGGTGGAAACATTTTAAGGTTTTGGAGACAATTCGGATTTTGTTGATTCATAGAATTTAGTTAGATTGAAAATGATAGAATTTCATGCTCGATTATTTTCGAAAAACTTCAATCTTTCCTAGAATAAGTTGAAATTGTGTTGAGATTTTATATTTCTTGTATCCGTGTAACAAATGAAAGGTAAATTCAACTTCTCCTACATAATCGTATCCTAATATTTGATACAATAAGAAACATTTTATCTTTCTGATACATATCAAAAGTGTCTGAACAATAAAATATTAAAAAGAACTGATGTACAAAACTCATAATGATGTAATAGGACAGTGTACCAATAGGTAAAAAATAATCAATAGCAGAGCATAAGGAGATGCAACCTAAATTAAAAAGATTAAATTCATTCAACGCGAACAAATATCAATGTAAACAACAGAATAAATTAAAAATTTATCATGTTCGATCGACAAACCATTTTCGACCATTATCAGGTTCGAGTAATTACATTTTTATGAAAAGAATTTCTTCCACGTGTTATATCAACAAGATCAAGAATAGTAGGAAATATTCCAGCAGTTTTTGTGTTGTTCAAAAAAAACATTTTTATAAATACTTGAAGAATGAAATTATCTTTCAGAATGTAATAGAAAACAGATTACTTACACAAAAAAATCAAGGGAATATATATCAATAGCTAAATCAAAATGCAATAGATAAATCAATCGTTTCGGTTTCGAACGAAGATTTTCGTTCCTATTCTCTTAATATGAAAAAAATTCTCTTGATTAACATGAAAGAATGATCCATTTCGACTCTTAACGAAAAGAAGTAAACCAAGGTTTAAGATATCCTATTCAACATCGATAGTTGGACCATGCCTTATACACGTGTCTGTGAGCATCATTTTAACCCTATTTTCGAGACTGAACGGATAGGTTCTAGAGACGGTAGTATATATATATCTATCTGTCTGTAACATGGTACAAATGGCGATGTGGTAAATATCACACAAATGACTCCATCTAGTAAAATTGATTTGAATGTTTATGTAAGATAATTAAAAATCGCAAAGGCTCACTAAAATTCAAACTAAGTGAGCAGTATAAATATATTGATGATCATTGTTAAATTATTCAATGTGGTCAAATCAACTGATGAATCCCATATACAAGGATAACATGATCTACTAGTTGTTAAAAGATTACTGAATGAGTTTGAACGTATAATAATGACTCAGAAAAATCAGATTATTTGAATAATCAAATATCAATTGTCTTGAATAAGAATAGTGCTAATGAAAATAATCGTAAAGAAATTTTTGTTCTGCAAAATTCCAAATATATGTATGTGATGGTCAAGATTAATAGGGTGTCGGTGTGATATGGGTGTGGGTAGGTGTGGGATGTCGATGTGGGTGGGTGTGAGTGTGGGTGTCGGTATGGGTATGGGTGTGGAGTGTGGGTGAACAAAAGACATAGAGCCACACCAACACCCACACCGCATCCACACCCACATTCACCCAGATTCACACCCCACATCCACAGATCCACACCCTCACCGTCACACCCACATACCGACATCCACACACCCACACTCACGCACACCCACATCCACACACTCACATCTACACACTGACACCCACACCTCGCGCCCCACCCACACCCGTACCCAACCCCGTTTGTAAAGTTGCTGCTCACCGCTGACGGCAAAGAAGAAAGCAAAAGACACATGCATATGGAAGTAAAGGAGGGATAGTGTCTGATTTTGTGAAACACGATCTGAAAGGAGTGTTGAAGTGTTTAGGGTAGAAATTTGGACCCCCCCCCCCCCCCTAAACCGGTACCGCCCGGGCATTTGCCCCGACCAAACCGG